CTTGTTTTACATCTTGAACTGTTCAAGCGGAATGTCAGAGTGGGTGGGGATTAGAAAAAACTCCCCTGCGACGAGGCATGACAAAGTGCAGCGTCTAGATCTTTCCGAGGTATAACAACTACGCAATAGCCAGCAGCTGATCACAGCTTCCCTTCCTTCTTTCTCTTACAAGCTTATTTTGTCTGATACATTTGTAAGGAATTAATTTCTGTAAAGAGATCAGGAAGAAGTCATTTCTGTATAGGTTGCTATAATTGTCAGAAGTCATTGTCATAAAAATTGATATTATCTTATGCGAAGTGAATTACTTTTTTAATGTGTTGTTTTGTACGACGATTGCTTACCGCATATTATAGCTTCTTCATTTTTGCTACACTTTTTCATTACGTCATCTAGTACAATCCGCTTGATAAAATTATTCCAGCACCCCTGAAAAACTTTCTGATCTTTTTTGCGTAAGCCAAGAAGTATTGATCTTCTTCATACTCCCTCATCAGATGTTTCATTTGCTATATATTAGCTTCTGACAAATTTGCTCTCTAGGAGCTTCAATCTTTGTCTTTCTAGCGATAAAAAAGTGGAAAAGTGACTGATATGCTTGTCTCACTCAACCGGAGCAATCATGAGGGATTAAATAGTCTCGAACCTCAAAATTGAGTAGTATTCCTTGCAATATCATGATATATGGTCCTAATGTGATAATTGTTGAGTTTTATAAATAAACAAACAATGCAACAAATACGGTTGAAACTCTTATGAATGCCTTTGGAATTCTAGCACTTGCTCTGCTTTTGCCGCCGAAAATAGACTCTCAACGTTAACGCTCATTTTCTATATGAAAATTTCTAAATTCTTTCACCATCATTCTAGTGACTGAGTATTGCCTAGAAAGTTTGCATCCCCCAGCTAAATAGCAGTCATTTCGGCACTGCACAACTCTAGCTGCAGTGATTCAACACAATTCCCCCATCTTGTGAAGATGCTTCTGAGGCACAAACGTATGTAACCACATCTTTGCCCTCTTTTTTGACGTTCTAGACTGAGCGTTTTATTTACTGACTTGCTGTATTAGTTCGTCAGAACTCCAGTGACCAAAAAACATCATCGGTGAGAACCTCGACCTTTAAGAAGGAAAACAAGTTGATCGAGCACTATTTATTATTATAACCTCTCAAGATCATCTCTCTCCAGCACTAGGATTATAGTATTACTAGGTGGTCACAAATCACCAATGGGAAACGAGAATGAGAAGGTGAAGAGCGCGCCGTGGTTAAGTGGAGCGTAGGCCTCGACAGAATAACGGATGACCGCTCATTCAAATTCACGCGTTCTTACGGCAGCTGATAATCTCCTGTTTTGTATAATACCATTTGCAACGGTCAAACGTGCAGTACAACAAAAGAGCGCCTGTGCTATAAAAATCCGGTGCGTTTCAATGTCGCCCAAGTTTCCACGATTTTGTACATTTGACTGGGCTACCGAACTGACTTGGGCACGCATGAGTTGCTTGTGCAAGAAATCAAAGTATTCAGTGCTCGAACTACGATGCGACTCCCAGTGAGGCGCGCAGGAACGGGCCGGCGCACGCGGCGCGTACGTGTTTACCATTTCCCAGCTCATGAGGCGAACGGCGAGACAGGTCGCACTGAGCAGAGGGCGCAGACGCGTCCAACTCAATCGCACTCGCTCGAGCGCGCTCCATCGCCGCTGCTGCCGCTGCTTGTTAGGCCCTCACTCCTCCCTGGCCCCCACGATTCGGTGTTGACATCCGCATTGCGACGACCTCGTACTTGCGTGTTTCGGCTATCATTCCTGAAGTCCTAACCTGAGCTTCCTTTCGCGATCGCTGCTGCCGCTTATTTCCGTCTCTGTCCATCTGCCAAGGTCATATAAATCGCTTAATGTGCTCTTGCTCATATAACCGTTCTTTCTTCCTCGCCATTGACTTGTGCCCTTGTAATTTGATCCGGCACCCAGTTTATTTAGCTATATAAACATATGCTAGTTTATACAATCGCTATATAAGACCAATCCTTAGTTGGTATGCGCGGAAATCCGCTACGTAGGAATTCAACGTCTTCGTTATCGTATTTGGGTAGAAGCCTACTTGTCGTTTAGTTCGAAAAAATGTAAACTTTCCCAATTCACCCTTGTCCCATTTACGCGCTGAGTTTCAGTGATGTAGTTTTTACTTCCTTAGCTTTTACACTTCTGAATGGAAGAACTCCAATTCAATGCGCTGCATGCTTAAGTAAAATGCCTAATTTTAAGCTGATTTTTCAGGTGGCACATTACGCGCTACGTATAAAGTCTACACTAAGACGGCACTGCCAGACTGCGCGGCATACGCGACGTACGCAGCGTAACTCCATATCTTTACATACTGTATAGGGCTCTGCAGGATCGCGAGAGTCGGTGAGTTTGCGGCCATTGCGCACGCAGGATGCTTCAAGGCCTCAAACCACTCAAACAATCCTGTACTTTTCGGAATCGCCTCAAATAATTGTAAGTTTACATCTGATAGCAGAAAAACGTCCAAAAGGAAGAAGAAAACCGATAAAGCTCAATGCGCGAGCAATGGCCGCAGCCTCACTGACACTCACGATCCTGCAGGCCCCTATACCTCAGACAGTCAGGGATACCTCCGGCGGGCAAATGGCGCGAGTCCACTTCGCGCTCTGGAGCGCTTCGGAGCCCTGCCATTTCACGCATTTTGCTGCTCCAGGGCTCTCCCAAAACTGGCGCACCTCCGGAGAAGAGATTTGCGCGTCCCGGAGAGAGGTCCCATTCGTTCACCGTGACGTCACGGTGACGTCACAAGCAGGCGAATGGGACCCCTCTCCGGGACGCGCAAATCTCTGCTCCGGAGGTGCGCCAGTTTTGGGAGAGCCCCGGAGCAGCAAAATGCATGAAATGGCAGGGCTCCAGAGCGCGAATTGGCAGACTCGCGCCATTTGCCCGCCGGAGGTATCCCTTCGACTGTCTGAGTACGTACGCTGCATACGCCGTACAATCTGGGCCAACACTAAAGCTGGGTTCATACTGATCCGTAAGTTTCGGAGCAGATGCAGCTCAGTGCTCGAACTGAGCGCTGTGCTGGAACTGTCCCGGCACTTACGGATCAGTTTGAACCCAGCCTAAGGTTTAAGTTGAAGCGATGGTAGATGTTATGCGCGTTCACACGTTTGCGCTGCTTTGCCTAAATGTCCCCTGCCTTTGCTTTGCAGTCGGGTTTATCTGAATCTAGCTGGTAGTGCACAGAATTTTTGACCACGTATTTTTGTTTGGGCTCAAACCGCAGTTGAAGGACCCGTCTCAGGACTTTTATCCCATGATATATGTACAAATCCAAAAAAATACACTGAAGAGTTGAGAAAACGATTCTGGTTTTTAGCTTGAGCGTGCGAGGTCCAGCTGCACACATTGTAGGTTTGAACAACCTGCATCTGAAATAAAAACTTTAGAGCAGAAATCCCACGATAAATGTATCGCCGTTTCTTGGCCGCACGGTGGTAGTAGCTAGCGGAGCACGCGCGTCGCGGATGGAGTGTCACGACAGCACGACTTGTGCTAAAGCGATTTGTGCTGGTAAACGCTTTACAAGCATTTAAATGCGCAGTGCTTCGCAATCTTCGAGCTCCGTGCGGTTGGCGACTCGAAGGCACTAGTAGTGAATGAATGTTATGTTTTTTTTTTTGACTGCTTTCTATTCACAACCATTTAGCGCACAGAACGTTGTCAGCAGTCCGACGCGAACTTTCGTTGTTCCACCATCTTCTCACCGTTCGCTGGGTCTTGTATTGTAAGAAACTTGTGTATAGACGCTACAAATAAGCGCGCTGATATATCGCTTTTTTCTCACGTAAAGTTCTTGTGTACTGGTCGTGTTGGGTATTTAAAAAAACTAGGGAAAGATTCTAAATCACACTGGCGATTTGGGACGAATTGCATATCATTAGATGCTCTCTTGTTGAGCGAATACTATTTAAACCCTCGTATGTGCTGTCCGAATTTCTAGAAGTCAGCGTTTAAGGTTGAAGTGCGTCAAACGTGTACTGGCACCCTTTGGGTAGATTCAATGTGCGCATTCCTTGTATATAGTAGCGCACTTAAAGGCACCGTCCACCCTAAATTGAAGATTTGAGCTTTTGGCCACATATGGCAGTAGGGCCCCCTATCAAGCCAATGCCCAAGTCGCGGCGCAAAATGTCGCTTCGGAAGCGAGAAAATCGCTCCGGAATAACGAAGTTGAACGAGGACCCCCATCCATGCCCGCCCCTCCGCATCCATGCCCGCCCATTTGTGCGCGCCCATCCAATCACCTTTCCGGAAAGCCGCTGGTTCTCCGGAACGGGGACTGTGAGGGTTTTCGCGGATTCTCGACTTCCTATTCGGCATCAGGGACAAGGAAAGACTCGGAAACGACATAAACCTGGAAGTGGAGAGTCTGGGCAGACGGTGCCTTTAACACCTTGCCAATGCATACTCATATTGGATTGTACGCTATATTTGTTAGTACTGTAATGAGTTATACCTTCAACCGTTCATACCTTCTTCGAAGAACCCGGCAGCAAATTAACAAGGTACATTTCGAATCAGCTCATTAAGACGCATGGAACGATATGCAATTCATTCCACTTTGCCACTGCGATTTAGGATCCTTCCCTTGTAAGATTCGAGCTAATGCAGGAAGGTTCCTTCTTGGATTTTGGAGAGCACTTGAAATATGCAGAGTCGTTTGAACTGATCTTAGGCCATGATAGTGTCCGTACAACACTGCTATTGCTTTTCCACCTTGGCTCGCCCGGCTCTTTCATTCCCTAACTTTTCCAAAATGCTCGCATTCACTTTCTTGGACACAGCTCATCGCTTCGAGAACAAGAGACGTCGAACACTGCCGTTGTGCCCAATCTCCTCTCTTTTCACAAATGAAGCTGTTGTTAATTGAATCCCATCGCGTCTTTTTCTCCTTCTTTATGTAGATCGAGCCCTGCTTTTCAGAATTTTTGTGTAGCAAGGATTTAGTGGCGGACGTTGTATCTTCCTGCTGCTATAATAATTTAAGCGTCCTGATGAACTAACATGATGATCAACAAGTAGGCGAGTACTTTTGTTTTGCGCTATATCTTCTAGTCTCTATTGAAGCTCCACATTATTTTATCACAAGTAGATCTCCTTCGTTTTATCCTCTCTTCAACTTTCATCGCTAACTTTTTCTGTTGAGTATAAATATTAAAGAACTGATTCAGCATGGGTGGACATCGACGGGATCAGAGTGACAGCCACGTTCCCTTGCGGCCTTCAGCGGATTTTGGTATAGAAGGTACAGAACTCCAGGTTAGCAACCGTTAGGTCTTATATTGTCCTAGTAGGGTACTTGTCGTTTATTCGCGATCGAATCTGTGATTATCAATTTTTCTTTCATTTTCACTTTTTCTTCGTGGCTTTGTTAACTTATTTTTGCTGGAAGCACTAATTTAGGTTCGGCTTGATACATCCCAACATTCTCTGGCCTCACCCACGTGCAATGGGATTTCCATCAATATCGACCCTGCTGATCCCGAGCCCACCTGCATCAGTCCCAAAATTGTTAGTGTTTTGCTCTTTGATATTCCGTATTTTTCGTGTTTGTTAGTGAACAGTTTTCATCTACGCTCCCTTTCGATGCTAGTCTTGGGAGGCTCAGTCCGATAAAACTGAAAGTCTTAGGCATCGTTCAGACTGCGCCGGCTCCTCTCTGAACACGCCCGAACCCGTCCGATCCCGCCTGAATCCGTCCGATCCTGGAACCCGTCCGAACCCGCCCAAAAAGGCAAATGGGGGAAGCGGAGGAGATATGCCTGGTTATCGGCATCTTGCAGCACGCGCGAAATGAAACATTTATATCGTGAAGTCGTTATATCGTGAAATATTTCCTTGGCTTCCCCCATTTGCTGGGTTCGGACGGGTTCACGCGGGGTCGGGCGGGTTCGGACGGGAACCGGCGCGGTTGAACGATGCCTTAGATCATGTGGACTTGCCTAATATGCTTTGATAGTGGTTGATTAGGGTACCTCGTTTGTGTATGAACTGTGCCAATGAGATCTAACTGGGTTAATACTAGGTGAACCTGATATATATTTTTTGCAGCTTTCCGTAGATCTTCCGTAGTTTGACTGGTAGTCACGTTGTCGTATCTTGGACAACTTGCCTCTGTCAAGCTCTGATGTTCATGCACTGAAATATTCTCTTTACGAAGCGATAGCGAAGGACCCAATCACTCGACGATCTGTGTGCAAATACACAATTAACAGTTGCAATTTGAGTATCTTGCGAAGTGAATGCGAAGAATTTGACTTTTGGTATACATCTAAAACTTCATCATTTTGTCTGTCTGCGACCTTGAGTCTTTTTGCAGTGAGGTGTGCTAAGTGCATACAAATAGGTACGGTGGAGTGGAAATTTGGGCCTATCTTTATTTTTAGATTTCCTTCCACCTTCTGTTTGAGGATGTGTTCTGTTTTGGCAGAAATGAATCCTGCTTTGTGTAGATAAAGTGTAGAAGCGGTCTGTCCATGGACGCCTAGCTCTTAATATCGAGAGTGGCTGCCATCGCTCGTGACTCATAATTCTATACAACAAGCGTGATGTATACCATGTTATAATGTTTTAAACTTTTTTCTCTGTAAAATGGAAGAACAAATTACTTGCTTGGCAGTAATCATTTTTGAAAGGTTTGCGTTCGGCTCAACTGTGCCTGTTCTATCGAGTTTTTTCAGGAGCTGCTTTTTTTTCTTGGACAGCTAAGCTTTTCTATCTTAGGTTTTCTAAGCGATGTTTGTCAACATCGAGCTTTCGAAATAGATTTAATATGTGTTTCTCACTGCAAAATGCTGTTTTCTAAAAGACAAAAAATTTGTATGTGTCACTTTTGAATTGAAGCAATTGCGTCGTGCATATGTAATGACCATTCTTTTATCGATGACATATGCAAGCATTTGTGCTGCTTGTTATCTGAATGTTAGAATTTTTGAATCGTGTCGTTGATAATGCTGATCGCAAAAGCTTTATTGGCATGAAGGTTTACAAGCGTGTCCATGCACACGCACATGTAGAAATTCAATGTTTTACCTTTCTCTTGTATCTTTTCCTGCGCTTACGCTCCAGATGCAGTCAAACATGTTGTATAGATATCGACACTGATGAGTACTGCGTAAGTTTTTTTGTTTGTATAGACTTGCTTTTTGCTTTCAACGACAATTTGCCGTCGGAAAATTAACACCTTTTTCGCACTTCAGTTTAAGCTCCTACATTTTTATAGACGTTTTCAAAACCGTTTCTAAATAAAAGTAGGGAGGCATTTCTTTTTGATTTTGTTGTAGTAACTTAGTTATTATAGCAGTTAAACTTTTGAGCGCATCTCTCGGCGTTTGCATGGTTGTCTAGATAGATGTAATGGTGGAGAGATCTTTTCTGTTGAGCTTTGCAAATGATTCGGGCAGTTCAGGAAAAATATATGATTAAAATTGCATCGGCCATCTCCAAAAACCTATCAGTTGAAAAAAGTGGTGCTAGTATTATTATCACAGCTTTGGTCTCATCGTTTCTGACTTGTATTGACATGAAATATCGTGTATTCGTCTGCATCAGTTCATATCAATCCTTCTGTGTGGTGATAGTTTTCAGTCAGTTCATGTAAACTTTGGTAAAACCCGCATTCGCTTTCAATGTAAGAGTTGCTGTACTCTATAAAATGACTGCTCACGTGATCAGTAAGGAGTTATACATAAATATCAAGCTTATGGACACCTCATATCAATTGCCTATCTTTCCTTCGTGAAAATCTCAAGCACTTTTCGACTATGGAGTGAAATCGTCCTTGTTTACCTCTGTTATTGGTGCGTTCATATGAATATCCATTTAAACCTGCATTTTGTTTGTTTGTGAATAGTGACACGCTAATGAGCGTGTAAGAAGGGATCCAAAGTTGCAAGTTGTCGATTGTATTCTTCTCGGTTTTGTCCACAAAGCAGAGATCTGATTTCTTTTGAGTGGCGCTTGTTGTTACCTGGCTTCTTCGATCACCTTTTTTCCTCTCATAGAGTTGAGAATCCGTTCATGCGATTTAGTTTATTTTTTATCTCTAACAGGAAGTCATTTCTAAGTGAACTCATTCCAGATGCAACCGCGAAGATCTGAGGGTTTGAAAACGGCGATTGCCTTTTGCTGTTTGATGCTTTCGGCTTTTCTCAACTTTTTTCTTCTCACTGTCATTCATGATGTCGTCCCACGTCAGCCGCTTCCTGATCTCACGTTCATGATCATTCCACAACAGAAATGGGCTTGGTCAGTGGGCGACGTACTATCTACCGTTAGGTATGTGAATCGATACAGATGCTTATGCTTGTACTGCATTTTCGTTTCTGGGATGAGGTGCAGTTCTTCTAATTGCTCATACCATGGATTTTTTGCTACGTACTTTTTATTCTTGATGTGAAGAGTTGAGTCCAGTTGAAAGAAATCTTTATGCTATGTTTTGCCACCCTACTGGTTTCGTCATGAGCGTAGCGTAAGCACACTCTCCTTAGTCCGATAGCAAGTAGAAAAAACTTCCCGACTTTTTGAGGTAGAAAAGTCGGAAACGCACTCAATAATCATACCATGTTTCGTTCTGATTAAGTTGCCTGTTTCAGCTCTGTCATGGCGTTCACAGTAGTACTTCTTCATCATGAGCGTTGGGTTGTTTTACGTCGAATGTTTCTTCTGGGTGCGATCATGTACGGGTTACGAGCTGTTGTTTTGGGTGTAAGTTTTTTGAAATTTGCCCAAGCAGCAAGACTTCAATTTTTCTCTTAGGTATCTTAGTGGGTCTTTTTCCGCACGTGTAGAATTTAGGTAACTTTCCTCCCTCCATCCTTCCATGATCGCGATGAGATCTGTCTCACGCAAGTGAACCGGTCGGCAATGTACGGGATGGAAATTGCGACGAGGTGAGTATGTACAAAAATTGCATATGTTGTAGGCTTTGGGCTATATGTTACGGAAAGTTTTCTTTTTCTTCACTTCAGTGATCTCTGTTTGTTTCTCTATGGGATCGTTCATACCGCGCACAAAGGCGGACGAAGCCGGACGAAGGCGCGTCTTGTCTCGTCTCGTTTCTCTCGACACACACACACTCACACATGCCTTCGTCCGCCTTTGTGCGGCTTCGTTCGCCTTCGTCCGCCTTTGTCCGGTTTTGTCCGGCTTCGTCCGCCTTCGTCCGCCTTTGTGCGCGGTATGAACGATCCCTATCGTTAGAGAGGACCCTGTCAGTTTGTCTCAGAATGAATAATTTTTGGCTGTTTACATATCATATTTGATTGGCCGTAGACCCTACGCTTATGTTTTTGACTGACTGATAGAGGAAAGTGTTCGGGCAGGTTGGGAAATTTGAAGTTTCCGAGATAATAGGCAAGGTTCCTGTTTTGCCACTGCCCAAACGCGGGGCGAGACATGAGAAGTGAAGTAAGAAAAGCTCTTTGAAAGACCGGCACATCTTTTAGTTCCAGATCAAACCCTTTCAGAGTTTCCGGACACTCTCTTTTTTCTTATTTCTCTTCAGACACTCTTTTTTCTGATTTTTCTTCATTATACTGTGCTGCACAGTTTGATACATCTGCAGTTTTTCAAAGTGGTTGGTGATCAGCACAGAGCAAAAAGCAAATCTTATGTTTATGTGATAAACAAACTTTCATATTCATGTGTTGAGAGAACTATGTTTACCTGCAGATTCTTGACCTACGTCGTTACACTGGGTCTCACCTCCGGTCAAGAAAAAATACTCTGTGGTGACTTGATGTTCAGCGGACATACCGTGGTGCTTACAATCATGTACTTCGTGCAGCTTCAGTATACCCCCAGGGGGTTGGTCTGGATAAGGTTTGTATAATCTTACTCAAAGTTATAGTCTTGCCTGAACAATTTATTTTTTTAGGTATCTGGCCGCTCCAATAACTTTTCTTGGCATAAGTGCACTAGTTGTTTCCGGGGGTCACTACACAATGGATGTTCTCATTGCATACTGGTTGACAAGTCATGTGTTCTGGGCTTATCATCAGATGTTCGAGATGCCAAAAAAAGACAGGCCTGATGCGCCAATGAGTAGGCTCTGGTCAGTTTATTTTTTTTTATCTTGGTCTCCCATGCAGCAAGCTGTTTTTCTCACTAATTTTGTTGTAATCAAATTTACATCTGAACGGTTCTGAGTTGTCTCTTTGCGAAGGCAATGTTTATGTCATGATAAACGTTGATATGTTATTGTAGGTGGTTCTGGCTCTGCTACTGGTTTGAAGCTGATGTCGCTGAAGGACGGCTAGTAAATCGCTGGGATTGGCCATTTGAAGGACCACAAGTGATGCATGACTTGATGCGGCGAGTGAACAGAATTCTTGAGTAACCTCTACTTGTTGTTCAATCACTAACCACCTATTTTTGTTCATTTTCGCATGAGTCGCGAGACATTATTGCTCATTATTGACTTACAAGTACAGATCTCACTAGCAGAACCGGTTCGCTTGCTTTTTTCTCGCATCTTGTCCCCCGACTTCCTTTGTCTAAAGCTGAAATCTGCGCTTACCAGGGTCACTCATTTGCAACGACCATCCAACTATTGATCTCTAGTTATTGCGCGTTTATTATAATTACTTACACTTCTTCTTTCTGATTTTGTGTTGTATGTCCGCATATTAGGCGATCCGTATGGGTCGCCCGTGTCCTCTTCCTTGAAATGGTGCAATCATCACGTCGTGCTAGCCCTAGAAGAATAGTGCTAAGTAATACTTGTATTGCTCCTACGTCTCAGACATACAGGTTCGCAACTTTGTTTTAATCTACATGCGTAATGTACAAATCTACATCTTGGACTACAGATCGTTTTATCATTTGCTATGCTTGTAATAAGGAGAAGACAGAATGTTTTGATCTACGGCCGTTTTAGTTTTCCTACTTTCATCACTTTAACCAGAACCCCATTCAGCTTTCATAACTAATATTTTCATTTTATGCATAAGATGCGTATTCGTGCTTCTTGATACATCATGATAGTTCTTTTATGGCAAGTATTGTATTGTACCCTAGGACAAAATCGAAAAAAACCAAGCCCTTACTCTCCCTTTTTCCCCGCAGTTGCTGATTTCTTCCACACTCCACTCCTCTTCTTCCAATGATTCTATTAGGGAATATGTTCGTGTACTTCCAAGTACATGAAGCCTTTTAATACCGGTTTTATTTGTTTTAACGAAATACACATCAATTTACTTGCCATCCAGTCTGTGACCTACTCATCTTGTGAGATTTTTCGCGGTTGCATTGCCTAGATTTGTCTTATATTAGTATCACACTGCATTGTACTTTCTACTTTGTTGATGTAGTCATTGTACAGCACAATGAAGATATTAATTGGATTTGAATTTTTTGGCCTTGAACTGACACAGTGGGCGATGAGCCTGTGGCTAGCTACAACGATGTTCGCTTAGGCTTCATACATACCTGACGATGGGTAGCTATAGCTGACGATGTGTCGCTGCTAGCAGCAACGCTTTTTATGCGTATCGATTGCAGTCAAGCGACGCTGCCGCTCCTAGCTGCTGCAGCCAACGCGAAACAGACCCGCTATAGCTAGCGATGCTGCGCTGCTTCTAGCTGCTCCCTGCTGCTCTTCGCTGCTACGCGACCTGAAGCTCACTTTTTGTGAGCTTTCCTCAGCTGCTCCGTGCTGCTATCAGTTGATTTCTCTCGGATTTGCCCCTATTTACCATTTTTTTGTGTCTCCAAAGGATTTCCAGAGTATTTGTTGCGATAAGTGAACTATGACAATCTTGCGAGACTATTAAGAAGACAAATGTATAGGTGAACAAATCAATCTGAACGAGATAAACTCCATAAGACCTCTGGAATCAAAATAGAATATGAATAGAGTACGATGAACAGCTAAAGGCAGGTATTTGTTAAGGAAAATATAATAGTAGGATGTCGTTGGCCCACTTATACAATACGGCAGTGAATAGAGGTCATTGGTGACACTCGAATTAACATCTGTCAAACTATCTGAATTTATTTAGTAAAGGCAGCATTTGTGCGTTGTGTGCTTATTACAAACGAAACTTTGTAGTGATAATAGTGTGCTGTATTTCATGACTCAAGAATTCCAGCGATGAGATTCATTCAATTCATTTCTCCGCTGATCTAGATCAGCTGGGAGGGCTAATAATACTTACTCTTGCAAAATGCATCCATGCCAGCAGTTATCGGCAGCTAGAAGCAGCGGAGATAGCAGCGATTCGCCAATACTCGCTATACCTCTATCGTCAGGTATGTATGAAGCCTTAGAGAAATAATTAGTGAACTGATGGCGTCTATTGTGTTCAAACAAAGCATACGGATGCGTTTCTTCGCTAGCAATACTGAGATTCGACAATGTTTATTGTACCCGCAATAGTCTCATAAGAAGATCGGAACAGTTGAGGTAAATCTGACCTCTCTCTAAAAACACCTGTGTCCGTAGCTCTCAGAATGACAAACTTGCTGTTCTTTAGGTGGTTGGTCCAAGTCGCCAATAATGGTGATTCTCACTCGCATGGGAACGACAGGAAGCTCCGGGACGTGCGTTGGCTCTGGAAAATACTCCTCTGCAGCCATGCTTCATAAGTAATTCCTATGCAAGAAAAGTTCAGCAGTTTGAAATTTCGATCAATGATCCAGAAAAACCTACCCAGTTCCGAATATGAGACTAGTAGCATCAGCAAGGGAAACGAGATCATTCGCGTTGTTACGAATCGGTTTGAAAAGGCGACTGCTCTACTTATAAAACCGCCCATTTTCTTTCTGGGTCAGTTTGGGGAGTCCTTGACATCGTAAAACTTTGGTAGAGATAGTGACATCGATACTGTTCGTTCAAATCGATCATCATGATACTGTCTTACTTTCGCGATAGCCTTTCCCTCAGCTTTCCTACGATCTTTTGTAGAATCTCTGTGGAGCTGTAGCGATGTGTGATCTGTGAACAATAGCTGACCCACACCGGTCAGATTATATTGTAGGACATTCTCCGCAAAAAGCAAAAGTAAGATCTCGGGAGATAGCTATATATGGCATCCACCATGCTTCTTCAGTCGGTGGAGGGTGAATTTCAAGTGTTTTTCCATTTATCCCACAGAAAGTGCGTTATCTAAACGGGGGCTATGCATCAAATACCCGTCAGCCTATCGTTCTGTTTTTTTTTCATGTAATTTTACGAAGTAGATGCTATAGATGGTTGCGTTGACCACAAAAGTTAAGGCGTTTTTCCGAAGAAAACAGTCCGCTGCTTGTCCTCAGCAGTATAGGAGGCGTCAGCGAAGTCATTTAACGTCCATATTGGTTGTACTAGCTTGCTTGACCGACTTCGCTCGGCCCTGTCAAAACACTGTAATAAAGGTCTCATCGCTATCCCTGTACTGCCTTTCCCTGTGCCCACTTCTACACTTCATTTCCCGTTCCCTGTGTTGTTTTGAAATCAGCATGCCCACTTACCCCCCCCCCCCCCCGTGCCAACTCCCAGCCCTTCAGCTCAAACACTTTGCGAAAAATCGATAAAATCGATAAAAGTAATCGATAATTCTGAAAACTAATATTGTATTCGGAATCGCCATGCCCACTTAATGCCAACTCCCAGCGGCGTAGGTGAACTCTGCAAAAAATCGATAAAAATCAATAAAATCGAAATCGATCGATAACGAAAAGTAGCCTATGACACGCTCCCCGCCCCGAAGTATATGTGTGCCAAGTTCCGTCCAAATCGGTTCAGAAATAAAAATTTCTATTCCGCACATACGTACAGACAGACAGACAACAGACACACATTCAGCTTTATATATAAGATTTTGAAACTTTCTAATGCTCGATAGGTGCGGAATTGGATATCGTGGGAAGCGTTAGAAAAGACGTAGTCAAAGCATGTTTTCAGCGCTCAGAATTGCTAGTAAAGAATTAGAGCGGACAAATTCAGGGTGCGTCAGAAGTTTGGGTGCCTCTGCAATAGAAATTCCTACTTATATATAAACTGGAAACATCTGGCGCGACAACAAAAAGTTCACATAGTCTCTGACCCTGACGTCTCACTTCAGCGTTGCGGAGGGGGAATTTTTGACAGTGTGAGCGCGCGAGACATCACGCTCTCTCGCAGAGGTTTCCGACCGCGGGAGCACTTAGAAAAGCGGTGTACTCCTATGCGCAGACAAGCTCGAGACGAGAGAGTTGTCTCGACATTTGTCAATTGATCGCACCCTACACGGTAAGCGATGACGGCAAGTTTTTTGACTTTGCCTGTGATGACGAATTGTGATGAAATACCGTATGTTCGGTCTGATCACGGCTTTCACAGCTGGAGCAATCTCTACTACTTACATACACAGTTTCACTTCTTTTCAGTTCCCTAGCTACATTACTCCAGCTTCATTCCAAGGATATCCTTGCCTCCCTTGCCCTTTTGCGGAATACTTCGATATGAAATATGAAATCTGAGCATTGTAATTCTTCAGTCGTCAGAGCTCAATATTTTGTGGAATCCTATATCGAAGAAGATCCCGATCCGAAGAGCAACTGAACAGCAAAAAATGTATTTTCGCAGGCTTTCTCTGTTGCTGAACAGTTTTTGGAGCGAAAAGTTTTGTGTTCTCCCACAATTTCCATGAAAAACGGTGAAAAAGTCGATTTCGACAGAATTTTCGCCAAAGAAACTGCCTTTGCTTCCGGATTGAAGACCCAGCATAGAAGCTGTGGTTTCGCTGGTTGAGCTCCGGAAGGCTCTCTCTGTGGCTGACCAGCTTTTGGAACAAAAAGTTTTGTTCCCCTCCCCCCCCCCCACAATTTCATGAAAAACGATGAAAAGCTCGATTTCGACGGAATTTTCGCCACGGAAAATGCCTTTGCTCCCGGAGGAACCCAGCATGGAAGCTGTGGTTTCGCTGGTTGAACTCTGGCAGGCTCTCTCTGTGGCTGATCAGTTTTTGGAGCGAAAAGTTTTGTATTCCCTACATTCCCTCCAACCACCTCAGCTTTTGCTTTCAAACCTTGTTACTTTTCCTCCACTGTTTGATTTTAATCAAACAATGGAGAAAAATCATCTTTCTGCATTGGTTAGCCTTTTAGGGAAGCGATTATGTTGACTTTAACTAATGTAAGCAACGAAAGAAGCAAGCTGTATTGAATTACTGAATTCTGGTGGTAGTATTTGGAAGGAAGGATCAGATATTTCTCGTGTCTACCTGCGAAGCGATTTTTCATTTATTTAGCTTTTCTGAAGAGGAGATGTGAACACCGTTTATAGTTAGATGCAGTCCCAACTAAGCAGAAACTAAGTATGTGCCCCGACCTACTTACAGCGGCCCGTAGGGCTGCTAGTCACAAATCTAATGATGATTCTTTTTAGTTCCACATTGACGCCACGTAATGCTGCTCATTTTCTACAAAATACATACTCCGAACTCTTGATGGCTAGCTAGCCCAAATTCTCTGTACTAACTCTTGATCAAAACTTTTGGTGTTTACAATTCAGTTAATTACTAGGTATAGAGAATATTCTGCAACAGTCAATGCCCGCAATGTAGAGGAGGTTTCGCGCTATTGCATCATAGTCATTGCGATGGCAAATGGAAATTCACAAATGTTACCCGTTTGCCAGTGATCATCTGCCTTTGAAACGAATCTGAAAGCTCTAAAAGCGGAGTATTGCTACGATGAACGATAGCTGGAAATAAGCATACTGTGATCCTGCGGCTGTCAATATGCCGCGCATAACGTCTGGATTTTTCGAAGCTATATGTTCTTCACTGGATTGAAAGTGGTGTCGAACAGTAAGAATTAGAGCATACCGAGCACCCAGTGTTTTTTTCCAAATTTCTAACACTCAACATAGAGTAATTGTAGAATTTGAAGAATGTTTGACCTACGCAACAGTACGGGTACGGCTGGCGCAAGCTATCGTTCATGTTGGCTGCCCCCGTGAAAGTGCAGCAGTCATCTGTCTACAAGCATGCAGTGGAATTCGATTGGAAGAAGTTTGTCACTTCCAAAAGTGCTCTTGACATGAATTCTACAATTACAAGAGAAGGATACCGATATTAGTCGGCGATTGAAGATGAGATGTATATCAGTAGACCGCCTTTGAACGCTGATTCCATATCTGCTTTCATTTTTTGCGGGACAAGTTTTCGAAAGAAGTTATGAGCGTTTGCATGTCCAAATTTGCTAAGGTTTAGGCGGCCTTAAATTAGCGAAAAGCTATACAAAAACACCGGAAAGTGGAAAATCAGTTTTGTATCGAGTATATTGTTTGCAAGGAAGGAACGAAGCACGTGGAAATTGCATAGGTATTGTTTTAGAGCTTTTCGCCAATCTTAGGCCACCTAAACCTTGGCAAATTTGGGCATACAAACGCTCATAACTTCTTTCGAAAACTTGTTATGCAAAAAAAAAAGAAAGCAGATTTCGTATCAGCGTTCAACGCGTTCAATTATATACATCCTATCTTCAATCGCCGACTAATATTGGTATCCTTCCCTTATTAGTTGTTCTGCTTTATATCAACAAATATTATGACTAGATTTTTTCTTATATGACACTAGCTGGCTTACCCGGCTCCGCCGTATGTTCCGAATAGAAAATTCCATTTCTTAACCGATCGGGACCAAACTTGGCACACATACACTTCGGGCCCCGGCTGGTGTCACAGTCCACTTTTCGTTATCGATCGATGTCGATTTTAACTATTTTTTGCAAAATTTGAGCTAGGGGGCTGGAATTTGGCAGGGGGGTGTAATCGAGCATGCTGATCATCCCCACGGGGGTGATCAGCATGCTCGATTACCCCCCTGTGCCAACTCCCAGCCCTGTAGCTCAAATTTTGCAAAAAATCGATAAAATCAATATCGATCGATGACGAAAAGTAGCCTATGACACCCGCCGGGGCCCGAAGTGTATGTGTGCCAAGTTTGGTCCCGATCGGTTCAGAAATGGAATTTTCTACTCGGAACATACGTACAGACATACAGACAGACAGACAGACAGACAGACAGACAGACAGACAGGCAGACAGACAGACAGACAGACAGACATACAGACAGACATACAGACAGACATACAGACAGACATACAGACAGACATACAGACAGACATACAGACAGACAGACATACAGACAGACATACAGACAGACATACAGACAGACATACAGACAGACATACAGACAGACATACAGACAGACATACAGACAGACATACAGACAGACATACAGACAGACATACAGACAGACATACAGACAGACATACAGACAGACAGACAAACAGACATTCAGCTTTATATATAAGATGAAAGATGTAGAGGAAGGCGAAGGTAACCGCTGGTCACTCGGATACACAGCTCTCTGGAGTCGTCAGGCACCGTCCGCTTGAGGGTGAGGACTGTCAGACCACCTTTTAGTCTGCCTCTCGAACAGGTTCCGGCTCTTTCTAGAGCCCGTTTTCCTTCGCGCAATGGTCCCCTTTAAAAAATTCAGTGTATTTTGTTTCTGCCCCAATCGGGATCAGGCCGAACCATCGGCTGAATTCGCGCGCTCGCAGCGCTAGGGGATTGCGTTGCATACGCGCGCTGTCGCAGAGAGTGAAGAGATCGAGGAGAGAGCAGACTAGCTAGCCGCAGATGTGGCGCGAAACCTTCGCGGCGCGGACTCCCGCCATGCCGATTTTGGCCTGGTTAGGATTGGAGCAGACTGTACACATAAGCGCTTTGCAGATTTCTTGTTGATGATTTCTGTATCAACCATTCATGAACTCTATATCA